CCCACACAGTCCAAAAACATGTTGAGGTTAATTGGTGATTCTAAATTGTCCGTAGGTGTGAATGTGAGTGTTCTTGGTTGTCTGTCTCTAAGTGTAGCCCTGCGATGGACTGGCGACCTGTCCAGAGTGTCCCCTGCCTTCGCCCTAAGTCGGCTGGGATAGGCTCCAGCCCCCCCGCGACCCTAGTGAGGATTAAGCGGTATATAGATAATGGATGGATGGAAGTTAAGCTTCAGCTCATTATTAACTGTGTAATAGATTTAAAACATGTGATGATATATTACCACGAGATATCATCAAAAGCATGACTGTCACACAGCGTGAATTTTGTGAAACTATTGACAACAGTTTAAACCCTGGGTCAAATACGCTGCATGACGTCTATTCTAAATGGCAGCCTGTGTGATTTGCTGATGGCATTATTTGAAATTGCAATTTCGATTTGAAATCAGTGTGTCCAACTAACCTTGATGGCTGGGTGGGTCTTAGTGGTGTCGTTGCTTTTCTCTCCAGGGATGCTGCCAGCTGAACGTCCCTCACACTTATATCTAAACCTCATCCCCCTCGGCTTTGGCTGCTCGATGATCTCTATGAAGGGGCTTGCTGTTTGGACTGAGGGACACATGGAAAAGAGGGAATACTGAGAGCACAGCGTGGTCGTGTTTTGAAAATACAAAAACACAGTGTCCAGATTGCGAAATACTGTCTTACTTCTATCACTGTGTCAACACAGAAAAAGCTGCTCATCGATCATTAGAACACACAGTGCAGATATGTTTGCTTATGAAATCTCTGCAGTCAACATTAGTACTGATTTTTACATAAGACTGGTCATTTACAGGAAACTGCTGCTTACCTGGGTTGATTGGGGCCATGCCCCATCCATACACACCTACAGAGGACAGAGATAAAAGAAATGTTCACCACTTGTTCTTTAAAATCTCACAGCAGGCAGTGGTTTACCATTACATGACACAGCACACAGTAGTAGTGCAGATGACCAAAAAAAAAAAAAAAAACATCAAAAAACAGCTTCAGCACATATTTGTGGCTTAGTAAGAGTTTGTCATTTGTGGTGTGGCCCGGGTGGAAATCTACCAGACAGTGAAGCCTCCAAAGAGGTCGAAGGACACTTAGAGACAAGGGCTTCCCAGCTAAATATATTTGCTGGTCATAAAGTGCCTGCCAAGCTTCAGAAAAGAAGAAGGAGTGCAGAAAAAGGCAAACAATGAATGGCAGGGTGTAATGTGGGTGTCAGATTACCCGCCTTGTTATGAGCGGAAAGCAGGCAGCACTCTAGTTTCAGGTGCTTGGGAAAACAAGAAAGTGAAGATCAGGTGGTCAAAGCTCCACCCATCAGCTAGCAGGAATTGTTCAATTCAAAGGCGTGAGCAGGATGCTTTCCAAGCTGTAACATGCCTGATCTGCAGCCTTTAAAAGTAAGGGACAGTGGGGGGAAAATCACATTCTTCTTTGTGTTTAAGATATTGTGCAGTCGTTGACAAACGAAGCGGTATATGAAGAGTAAAACTCTGCAGTCACTATATAAAGTCATAATATGCATTATTATTAGTAATTAATGACTTAATGAAGGGCAATACTTGCACAATGCCAACACTTTAGACGATTTATTTGAAGGACACCCTTGACTACTGATTGAGTTTGGATGTAGTGAAAGTAAAAGTAAATGTCTGCCATACAGCCACACATTCAGAAATCACTGAATGTACTAATTTCAAAACACAGCTGAGGATTCTGACACTATTGTGTGTCGCTTTCACACCATTTGACCTGACTAAAGCACTGCTGCCTGGGCATCCTTTATTAATATTTGTCAGATACACTGTTGACTTTGTGTGTCAACATTGACCATGTCTTCCTATCCACATTAAACTGATAAATCACACTCATCATATATTTCAGTCTGTTTTGGGGGATCTGTAAGATGTCGAAAAGGCACCCAATTCTAAAATCTTTCTATTTAATATATTTTTCAGCTTATATGTAAAAGTAAATGTGCTATAAAAGTAAGCAGAGATTTCTGAAGCTTCACCAGATATTCTACACATCTTCATATATATTTCCTGCTAAACAGCCTGTTTCTTACTACAATGTATGTTAAACTATGATCTGCAATATAAATAAATCAAGTCTATTGCAACAGAGGTGGGCGGTTGCGAGCAGCGTGGATCAATGACAAAAATAGACATTTTTAATTTGAAACCAGCGCTACTTCCATGTTACATGTAAGCCGAACTGAAGAGTAATTAATGACAATGACCGCTAAGTTTTAGGAATGTGATTCATAAAGCAGTGTATATGAAACAGACAGAAAAAACGTTAAGTTGCGAGATTTCCGAACGTAGTTTGTAGTGGCTGGAGGGAAATCCATGCGGTGGACTCATCCAACAGGCCTCTTGGCAGGGCGACGCTGTTTGGTTGAGCCGTGCCAGGTGAGATAGCCACAACACAGACGAATTAATTCAGCATGACAGCACGTTTCACGCGAACATTACACAGGTATGTAATAAAACCCCTAAACCGAGTCAGCATTCTTTGTGAAGGTTAGCTTACGAACCGGGAACAGACTCCTCCTGTTAGCGCAGTAATAGCGGGGCTTTCCCCTGTGCGCAAAACAACTCCCTGAACAGTTTCACCTCCACAGTCTGAGCCCAAGCCGAGAGAATAAAAACCTCTTACCTTCCATGGCGGTGTCCGAGTCCGGCTCACGCTTCTCCGTCTACACCACTGTTTCTCTATAGTTTCTCTCTGTGTGTGTCTTTTTCTTTAAAGCTAAAAGTCGGTGCAAACACGACACTGTGGAGTCTGAAAACTTCTTGACAGAGCTGAACTGTCGCCTCCTTCGCTCCACCCACATCAGTGAGCGAGTCTTCGGCGAGTAAAGCCGCAGGGACGCTCGCAGCTTTTCCGGTAAGAACGGAGCAGAAATATAATACCTATTTGGGGAACACAGTATTGCGTGTTTTTGTTTGCTTTTTGCGAAACTCTCCAAGTCAAAATGGCGACTTTGCTATTTGCAGCACGCGCACTGTGTAGTAACTCTGCAGGAAAGTCGCGCTCAGGTTCTAGTTTTTAATTATTGTATTTTACTTTTTTTTTTTTTTGTGGAAAATCTAGTAAGTCTTACATGGATATGAAGTGCAATATTCTACACTTTTAAAATAAAAATAAAAACAGTGAATTACACTCATATAAATACATCTAACTGCCTTTCAGAAGCAAATTACCCATATTAAGCAGATAACTTTTAACATAGCATATAGGAACCTCCACAATAAATTCACTCAAGATCCTCCCTAGTACAATATATAAATAGCTTCTTAGCCTCTACAAATCCATGCAGCATCAGTATAAACAAATGGACACAATCAACATTAGTTAACAATCTCTTAAGTAGAAAAGAACATACAGAAAATCTAATTTAATATCTAAAATCCTGGCAGCAGAGGAGCAAATCTGATAATTACTTTTAGTATAATTATGCATATTGTAAGCAGATTTAGATTTTGTGAGACCTTGTTTTATATATTATGCATGGTTCTATTGACAGGTTCATCTACGTATGACCCCTGCAAGATTTTGGAGATGTATTTTCAGGCCCTTTGGGGTTTTACACATTCACATCATCATCTTCTACCAGTTTGATACAAAGAATTTGGCACTATATTCAATATTATATTCATTTGTTATTACAACAGCTTCTATTGATGTGTCTGTTGTTGACATGTTGCAACATATAACAACATATTACAAATCAAAATATGAATCAAATTAGCCTATCTTTGTGGTATAATATGATTATTATGACTGTTGTTATAGCTATTGTTATGAATAAAATAATGTACAAATATTTTATGAATAGCCTTATAAATTATTATATATACAGTTCCTATATTGCTAGTACATTTTATTATTAAAACAATAAAAATAAATGCAAAAATATAAAAAATATAAATCAATATAACAAAAATTAGATAAAATAAAACAAAATAAGACACACACACAAAAACAAACAAAGCTTGCCCACAGGGGTTTAAGGGAATCTTTGGATTTGTTTGGTTTGCATGCATATTTTTGCCAGACACAACTTTAGTCTGTTTAATCCCCATAATTAATAAAATCATCTGATTTTAGCTCTAAAATTGGAATAGTTAGGTAAATCTCCATAAATAATTCCTAGAATAAATAATGTGTATATGTGTGCACTACTTGTACTACTTATATAACTATTTTTATGAATAATACTATAACAACAATAAACTATTATTATTATTATTATTATTGTTATTACAGTGTAATTCCTTTAAAGGCAGTGTATTTGTATGAAAAATAGTTCGCCCCAAGAAACTGTATGCTATTATTTTGAAACAAAACTTGTGAGTGTTTCCGGTGCTGTCTGCTGTCTGTCTTGACGCAGCTGCACCCTTCGCCTCTCCTCTGCTATCCGCTCGTCTCTTCTCCTCTCCGCTGCAGTGCAACTTGCCACCACCCACTCAAAACAGTGCGGAAATACCCAGATGACGCACTTAAAAGGAACAGAAAAAATAAGCTGTGAGTGGGAGAGGCAATAACATAACTTCTGGCTTTAGTCATAACCTGGAAGAAAGTTTCAGATTGGATCGTCTGACGTCCGCTACAAATCTGCTCTCATCTTCTGTAAACACACTTACCGAAGAAGAACATCCACCTGAAGTTGTATTTTGTACTCTAGGTAGTACCAGACTGTTTGGAAACACTCTTCACACACTGACCTACATTACAAGTTTCCATTCTGCTGGTGGCCTACGCAAAAATCACTGCTCCAGGTTTTAACATTTAAGGCAGTACTTTTAGCACTCCAATCTTTTTCTTAGCTAGGATTTTTTATTTTAACTACTCAGTTAAAATTCAGGGAATATTGCCCTTTTTTAAATCACCAAGTCATCACAAAGAAAACAGTGCATCAGAAGCGTCTCTATATATTTTGGCCATGTGGAGGCGCTAGAGGTGAATAAATCAACTCTGGTGGAAGTGCAGGGCTGTGCTGCTCTCCTTAGATAAACCAAACCTGGGTGTCAGTACATCTTTTCCCAAGATTTCTCTATTGGAAAGTTGTTTGTTTGTTTGTTTGTTTGTGTGTGTGTGTGTTTGTTTGTTTGTTTGTTTGTTTGTTTTTGCCAATTAATGCAATAATATCTGAAAAGATCATCAGTCTCATACAGGTGTCCAAAAATAAAAAGACTGATATTCAGTTGTTGCAAAAGTTGCCAACTGACGACATTAAGACAAATAAATAAATAAATAAATAAATAAATAAATAAATAAATAAATAAATAAATAAATATAATGTAGTATTAAAAGTTTACAGTAACCTGTTGCCAAGGGTCTGTTCACACTGATGCTTTCAAGTGCCGTCGGAAATTACAAGCAGTTGAGAAAATGCAGTTAGGAACATGGGAAATGTCCATTTTATTGTTGTCCTGTTTGGGAACAAACAAACAAACAAACAAACATGAACACACTCATTCTGATCATGATGGTGCGGCTACTCTTCATATAATAGAACCTAATGTAGGTGGTTTTAAAGCACTGAGTAAATTGGTAATGGATTTAGCAAAAGTTATTTAAACATCACGTTACAGTGTTTTGGATTCTCCTAAACACCTTTGTTTTAAATTAGTATTATTAAAGTATTCCTGATGGTATGTCTTTTAAGTACCTTTACACTGGAGCATTGTTAGGTTTGTTAAGGAAAGCAACTGAATAATAATATATCTTCAACAAGTTACAAAAATACACTAATTGACTTCGGGAATGAATGGAAAGCAGTAGCTGGTTGCACTATAAAGAAAGACAATGGCATAAAGCTGAAATGTCTGGAAAGGCTAATAACTGAACTCAGCCTTTTTTTGTGTGTGTTAAACTATTTAACTTTCCTTTGAACAGAAAAGGCAATGGCAAATTAAAAATATTCAATTCTTCCTCTTTCTCCACTGGAAGTTAAAATTTCCGAGGGCACTTGAATGCGACGTAATGGTCCTAAACGGGAGGCCGTGAATGGGAGGAGGTTGGCGGTGCGTTTGTGTGCGCTGAGGCGGTGCCTGCCCTGCCTGCTCCAGACTGCGGCGGGCAGAGCTGTTCGTTTCAGAAATGGCGGAGGGGGAGTTGGACGTCGACTCGCTGATTTCCAGGCTTTTAGAGGGTGAGTTCGCAACTGTGTTTCATTTACAGTGCTTTGCTGTGTGCGGTTTTACCCCACAGCAGTTATTTGGGTTGCATTTTTGACGCGAGTTGACGAGAAAAAGGCCCGCTTTACTTGCTAGCGTAGCCCGGTGCTGGAGTGAACAGGACTGGTCCCGTCTGTCGGTAATCACAGGCACACCTTTAGTCAGCTGCCGCCTCTCTTTCTTACGTCTTTTTTCCCCATTAAGTTGGCATAATTAATGCCAAAATGCACTCAAGTCTTTTTTAAATAGAATTTTGAGTGTTATAGAGTGAATAAGAAAGTTGTAGCTCGGTGGCTGTTTGTGCCCCGACAGGTCCAGACTGTGAGAGAACGTCAGACCCATATTTAAACTAACCTAACTATTGCAATTCATCTCTGCCTTTATTAATAGCGCCATATCAGTGTAATAACTTAGGCATGCAACATGTATAACACTTACCAAGCTGCTTATCTTATCTGAAAACCTCAATCCTAGTCTTTGCTCATATCTCCACGAGCTACAAAATAGACCACTGTGGGCGGTAGCTTCTAGTGCAAATCCGTGCTAAAAGTTGATATTTCTTTTAAAATAAAGTGCAGCTTGATGATTTAAATCAGCCGAAAATGTCAAGACACTTGCCTGATCTCCGAGGACAACTAAAATCTTGGTTCCTTTGTGCATTTATGTGGTTTGCCCACAATCATTAGAAAAATGTCAAGTTTTCAAACGGGATTTGGCGGAAAGAATTCACAGCTGAAGAGAGGAGGCACGTCCTAGTGTTATAATGGTTCCATGCCAAGATTGCTAAATGGTAATATTTACACAAGCCACAGGCCATCACGTAATTCCACTTTAAGTAAACTTTCAGAGTTTGTACCCTGCAAGTATGTCAAAACAAAGCAACTATTCCTGACCTTAATCTAGGTGTTTTATAATTTCATAGTCAGTGCATGAAAATAAGCTGTCATCCTGCAAAAGGGTTTCAAGTGTCTGTAGTATTTATTACAATAAAGATAAAACATTTTGTTAACATCATTCATAAAATACGTTGCTTTCCCACTTTAACTGTGAATGATGAGCATTCAGAAAGACCCCTGTAGTGTATTTGTGTAATCTGTTAGCTAATATGCATATTTACAACTGATCAGAGTTTTTTTTTACACTAATTTGAGTCAGTTAACGCTGCACAAAAGTAATGTCTGTACTTTCGAAGAAAGAACTCTTGTTGCTCCTGCACCGCTGTTATGTGTTGGGTAGCAGCAGTGGGTGACTTTTCTGGCGTTGATAAATAAGGGACCCTGACATAAGTGAGTTGATTTGTTCGTCTTTTTCTTGCCTTTCTTTCTCTTGAGAACACAGTCGGTGTCTCTCTGTGTCTTCAGTAAACATGCAGAGAGCTGAGGCTGTGGTGAACAAACATTCACCATCGATTGTCACACACTCAATGTGCTGGAAGTCAGACACACAAAACGTACACAGTTTGGCAGCGTATGCTAATGAATGGGCACGGTGTGTATCAACATGCCAGTTCAACCTAATCATCTGGATTGATCGGGACTGGTGACATAATAGTGCTTGTTTGCTCTTTGTGTGTGAGTGTGAGCTGTGGAGTAGCACAGCAGTGTGAGTCTGTATTGTCAGCTGGGCAGGACTGTACTGTAGTTTGTTAGCTGGCTTGTATTTAGCTGCCTCTTTATGCAGTGAATAGGAAACCTCAGTGGAGGAAATTGGAGGGATCTGGCCCTAAAGGTTTCCAGATGTGAGCTCTGAATGTATCCGACTATCCATCTCCTTTCAGTCACTTTCTCTCTCCATCTACAGCCAGTTTTTACCCGTTTGGCTCATTTTTGGAGAGGAGAGGCAGGCTGCACGCCAATGGTTTTCTGAAGGCTCATACCTCTACATCAAAACCCAAATCGGATGTAAATGAAGTTTTCAAGTCAGTTATTAAAATTTAAGTAGTAAGTTTGAAATTTGTGTTGTCCAAGTTTTATTGTGTACAGTATTGTGTATTGTGTACACCAAAAACAAGACTTCTTGAATCACATTATGTTCAGGCTGAGAATGTTTTTCCACAAAAGTTCTCAAGTGTGGAGTCTAAATATAAAGTTTACAAGAATTTTAGATAAAATGTGTATGTATTAGTTTTGCTTAGATGATAAAACTTTAGATTTAGATCTGATCAAAGTTGGACTGCTGGTTAATGTCAATCTGACATATGTATATTGAAATAGCTGGTTTATTTACTAAGCCCAAATTCATCCTGTAAAGCTATTTGGATATTTGTTCATTGTTTAGGTACTTTTGTTTTTGGAAATCGGATAGCCATGTGCACTATATTTGTACCACTTTTATCCTCTTTAACCGCTCTGCTCACCTTGGCAGCTACAGAGAAGATAAAAATGCAAAATACCTCAGCGGTGTTGGAACACCTAAAACTGAGCAATGAGTGTTCCAAATATGCAGTTTGAAACTAGCTTACAAGGGTAAACAAGAAGAATGATAACTCACCTGAACGCCAAGAGTATTAGGCTACTGTGTAAAAACGAGACCATGCTAGCTGCTTTGAACTAATAATGAATCAAAAACGTGCCCTGACTTTGCTTGGAAAGTATTGCAACTGATGTTTAAAATACAGCAGCGTGTCATGTGGAAACATTGGGGTCTAAGGCAATTATAGGCATAAGAAACACAGTCCAGTCTAATAGTAACTTGTCAAGAGTTGTATAATCAAGCATCGCTGCCATCAACATTCTTAACCACACTCAAAACATTTTTACTTACCCTCCACCAAGCTTCAATTATGTGCTGTCGATTGAGGCAGAAAAATGTCGTTCCGTACAGCCTGAGTAGTCAGTTTTCTAATCCAGGGGATAAAAAAAACAGCAAATACTCACAGTTTAGTTGTAGAAACAATGACGTTTTAGGCCCTGTTGTTTGTGAAAATGACCTTATGGTCGCTCTTCTCTCATTAGAATTGTAGCTGATTCATTTCCTGTTCATCAGCTAATGGCTTGGCCAGATCAAAGAAGAAACCAATAATTGTAGTATTTTGACAGTGTTCTGTGCCAGACTTCAGTACGTGTCTGTTTTCTCTCTGGTGCCACGGCCTGATTTTGGTCTGTACCAAGAAAAAGGTATTAAGGTTTAATACCTGGCCTTACTTGGGTCATATAAGACCACGATTAGAACACAATCACACACATAAACCATTGGAGTTTGTGTTCACGTTGCGGTAAAGTGTAACATTACTTACTAAGAGTAAGTGTACAATTGATTGTTTCTGCAGGCAAAACCACATCCATCTAATAGGATGGCTCACCAGCCAATACTGTCTTTTTAGTAGAAAGTATAAAAGTTGGCTAAGTGGCTTTACTTGAACACTGAGAGACAGATATACGGGGCCACACACAGACACAAACACAAATCCAAGCGCTCAAATTGTCCCTTGTGAGTCCGTTTGTCATCGATAGAGCTGCATTTTATTTTAAGACTTGACCTTTCAGCAACACAAAGACTCCTCACAGGCTTCCCCTTGCTGTTGATATCCCTCATCATATTTTACTTAACCAGATTACATCTAATGCGATCTTTTATTGAGACATGTAGTGAATGGCCTGTAGGTGGCTTTCTCCTTCACATGAACAATTTTATTATGCTGCCACTCAGGGGAATCTTCTTCTTCTCTGCGTGAGGTGAAGGACCTTTTCCCTAATGTAGGAGTGGGCTCTTCCTCGCCGCTTCAGCAGTTTGATGTCTCTAATTTTCAGCGAGCGCTGGTGTTAGTCGGGGAACCCACGTAGTCCTGCACACAGACGCACATATGGAAGGGTCTCTGATCTTCTATTAAATGTCAACAGGCACAGCTGTCCCTGCTAGAAATTAACCTACCCTTTTGGTGACACAGACACGGTGAAGGAGGGGAGGGGAGAGGGTGTTAAAAACAGCAGTACAGTAATACAGTAGACTTTGTTGTTGGTGTTTTTAATCTCTTCGAAAATCTCTTTAATTCTCTGTTAGATCTGAGGTGCTACAAAGTCCATTATAGTTCATTGTAAAGTGTCACGTATTGAAATCGAACCACTTAGCAGCCTTAATCAAACAAACAGGAAACTCTGGAAGATTTAAAATGCCAAAATTAAGGTGAAATAAAACATACATCATGCATTTATCCTTTTAATAGGTTTACAATGGATCCTGCAGTGTATTAGCACAGCGTTCCAGTCAAACAGACAGTTCCTAAACTAATTTCACTTCAGAAAGTTCAGATTGAAATAAACGGTGCAAACAGCCACTGTGTATGTACCAGGACCTGGGAATACGTCTTTAGTCACATGAGCTTAATGCTTGCCTGTCTTCCCGTTTCCTGCATTTGTCTACAAAACTCATGAGTCCAGCGTATTTCCCAGTTAGCTTTCTTAGCCGTTGCACAAATGCTATCTTCATCGTAAAGTAAACTTTTACAGGGACTTTATTTCTCTGCTGTGACTGCGAACACAACCTACAGACTTTTGTCATGCGTGTCATGGTGCATTAAAGCTGACGAAAGTAACTTTACTTCCCTTATAGCAACACGCTTCACACAACAAACCCACCAGTCTGCGTCACCACCTTCGTTAAAGAAGATGTGCAGTCAGGCTGGGGGTGTGCCAACCTCACTTGCTAAAATAACATAGAAACTGTATTCATTTGTATAATTATTAAGTGTTTGTTTGCTTTGATAGACATAGATGAGCCTCCTTTACTTGAATAAAAGTCCTAAGACCGCAATGTAAAAGCATGTAAGTATAATCCGGAGAATCTAAAATGGTATCAAAGGTAGAGTTACTCAATTCAGAAAAATGTCTCCTGTTGCTGTTGCGCTATGATACAGTGTGTTATATCATTCAATTATTATTACTCATGCATTAATGTAAAAGCAGGATGGTTTGTATAAGCCTCGCCCACGGCCCCGCCCCTACACCGTGATTTCCCATTTTGGAATGTATGATGCATC